ATAAATATTGTTGAGGAAATATGTTAGACACTTGAGTTAAAAAAATGAGAGCAGTTCCTGCTTTTGTCAGAGAAAGAGACATTTAAAGAAATGATCATTCAAAGTGTCATCTGAAGGAAGCATGGGGGGGAGGAGGAGTTTGTTAAAGAAGAGGATCAAGGGTTGATGATGACTTTACTGTGTAGGCAACATCTGAGCTGAATATTTAAGAATTAAATGGCACTCACCAAGTGGAGGAAATGAGAGTGTAGGGCAGACCATAAAACAACAAAAACAAGGGTATGGATGTCTGAAAACAGAAGACACTTTCAAGAGATGATGAATAGTTGTAACTAGAGCCTAAGATAATTAGCAACACAAGCAGAAGAAGAAGCAAGGGAAGGTAATTTGGAGCTGGCTGGGAAGTAAAGTAATTTTCTCAAATCCCAACATTCATAATTTTTAAATTGCAAACTTCATAATCTTCAGTAATTAGATATAATTTTCCCAAACCCCTAGCTTATCTACATTAGGGGGCTTTCACACAACAATTGTATAACGGCAAGCTGATTGAAAGTATTCAGTATTGTTCTTAGTAAAAGAAATACTCTTGACTCTCCCTAATACTGTTTATAAAAATAAAGGCATTATATTTTATGCAATGTATCTTTAAAGATGAAGATTATGGATTTTGGAGAATTGAGGTGGAATTGGGAAAAAATGCAAAAGGATGGTTGCCAAAGTCATGTGTTCTTTTATTATTCTTTCATCATTGTGCTTCTGATAAAGAAAAAGCATATTTCCATGCTGATTTTCTTTTTGTACTTCCTGTTTGCTTATCTGTTTCCCCTTTAGATAGTCAACTCCAATTTAATGCCTGGCACATTCACAAAGCTTTCAGTAAGATTTGTTGCTCTGGTTGAAATTGGTATGCAGTGACCGTACCTACATATACACATACCTACAAATTTTCTGGTATTTGCTAATTTCTTACTGTGTTTAAGACATTGAGATAAGTTTTATTAAGAATACAAAGAGAGAGAGAGAGAAAAGGGAAAAGGAAGGAAGGGGAGTAGGAGAAGGAAGGAAGGAAGGAAATAAAGAAAAAGAAGAATTGGATGCCCTCTCTCTAATCAAGAGAGTTTGAGTGAGTCTATAGAATCAAGAGAGTCTGTGGTGGGGTAAATCCATTAATGTTTTACTTCAGACAACTGTCTAAAATTCCTTCCTTTTAAAATGTTATATCATCAGAGATCAGAATAATTTATTAATCAGGAATCTGAATAATTTTTCGTGGATCTGGTTTATGATAAGAAGAGAGAAAGTTTTCATTAGATACTAATCTGATTTAAAATCTCTTTTTAAAACTGTTAATATCATTTTTTAATTAAGGAGGACAGACTTCAAAGCCCAGGAACTCAGGGTAAGCATCAGGGGCCTCATCAGTCAATAAGAGGAGAAGGAGCTTATTAAACCACAGAAAACATTCAAAAGAGGACTTCTGAAATTCTTCAATGCCTGATCAGGTCTTCACTCTCAAGGAGCTTATAATTTAATATGAAAAATAGAATTATAATTATATATAAATTATATTTCCTTATAATTTAATAAGGAGAAAGCAACAAGCAGTATGTGTCTAGCAGTAAAGGTGAGATGCTATTAAATAGATTACAGGTGAGAGACGCACCCTCCAGCAGGTCAGTCAGAGAAGAATTCATAGGGGAGGCAAGACTTACACTAAGCTCTAAAAGGCGTGTAGGAGTTTGATAGACATATTTGGGGTAGAGAGAGTCTTTGCTGAGATAGACATGGAAATAATAAAAATAGTAATAATAATAGAAATAATAGTATCTCTGCTTCTACCATTTATTGGGCCTGATGATGTTCTGGGTGTGGTACTAAGTGCTTTATGTGCATTATCTCATTAAATTCTTATAATAAGCCTCTAAGGTAGAGGATGGCAGTTTAGAGATGTCAAACCTGAATCTTAATAATGTCAAGTGACTCCCCGAGGGAATAGATATGCACTAGAGTCTACCTGGTTCCATGCGCTATGTGATTCAGCACTAAGCTGTTGTGTGCAAGTGAAGAGTAAGCTTTGAGAAGGAATGGAAGATACAGCTGGAAATATACTTTGGAGCAGAACTTGAATACCAGTTTAAGGAGTTTGGTTTCTGCATATGTATGTGTGTATTCTGGCCTTTTTCCTATAGAAATGGGACACTCTGGAAGTTTTCAGTAGGGAAGTCTTATAACATAAATATTACTTTGAGGGCACTGTGCACTAGGCTGGACTAGCTGAAGGCAGAAGCCCGATTAAGAGTGCAATGAAAATGGACAGGGGAATAAAAAGATGGGGAAAAGAAAAAAAGAGAAGAAAATAGACTCGGATGCTTTGGATCTAATACTCTCCTTAATTCTGAACTAACTTTTATTTTGGAAAAATATCAGAAATCAAAGTTGCAAAGATTTTAAAAATTCTAAATTTAGAAATCTATAGTAAAATATATATCTATTTTGATGGAGTAAGTGAAAACAGACAGGGGATTAATGTAATCCATGGTGCAGTAAAGAAATTGTTCACAGGAGCAAAAAAAAAAAAAATGTAGATAAAAAGCAAAGAGTTAGAGAGAGAAGCACATCAGACGCAGAGGGGGCTCATCCCAGGAATTCCATCTGAAGACCAGGCACCACAGCGCAGAACCAGACCCAAGCCATAGAGAGTGAGTCCTACTGAAGAGGGGGAGAAACAGACTACAGCCAGCAGGGCCAGGTGAGTGGCAGCCTTCCCCCAAGCACCGCACTGAAGTGCGGTGAGGAGCAACCTCCACAGCTGCTCAAGCAGCAGCCCAGACTATTTGTAAGCCCTGCTTTGCAGAACCTTGATGAGCATTTGCCACTAGCCATTCCGAGATTGGAGCTGGGCAGTTGGCACAGGGCTGGAGACCGATTCAGCATTTCCTGGTAGGGGCCAGGAAAGAGCCGACAGAGCCTGTCTGGATTACATCCTTGTTGTCCCTAAGCTTGAAGAGCATTAACTAATTAGACCCAAATTTTATAATGATCTGGCTTTGGTCTTAAAAGTTGAGACATGAGTCTAGACGTAAAGGAAATCTTGGCTTCCTGGACTCTTATAAGTTCCTCCTTGGTGAGTCCAGGTTTTTGGTTGGTTTATAATGTAGTTTCTAAAATGGGGTATTGTGGGTTTTTTGTTTTTTTAAGGAGATAAATAAGTTAAAATTAGTCAACTGCATTCATGGGCTGAGGAATGGCTCCATGTACTAAGAAATATATTCTATTACTTTCCAGCCCCAGTCCCCTTTCTCTTGCACTGAAATCTAATGTTAGACAATAAAATATTTTCTATTAAGTTTGATAGGTTTAAGTAAAACTACATGACATGCTTCCATCAAAGGGAATGAAAATCATTCTTCAAAGCAGAATCAATTTGCAATTGTGACAGATGACGCTTTTCAAATTAAGCTGCAATTCAACAATGGCACTTTGATGTCTTTGAAATAATTGACGTTAAGGAGCAATTCTCTATTTTAAACTGTGTTCTCTCAGTTTGGTTCTTCATAATAGGAACACTCCACAGGGTCCCTGATCCTTGCAGTTTTTATTTTGCAAACTGCTTTGCATCATGAATAAAAATCTGCTTTTTATAAAAAATTTCTGATTTTATAATCAAAAATGACTTCTCATTTTTATATTGGAAAAAAACCTGTTCTTCCTTTGAGCAATTAATGTATATTGGTGCATAATTCATCATATATATTATATCATATATTTTAGTTGACAAATAGCTCTGTTTCAAGCATACATAGATTACATTTAGTTTTTATTACTTGTAAAAAATTTCCTGAAGACTAAAGAATCAAGCTAAACTCTCAATTTCTTCAGAAATTTCTGGGTAATATCCAAGCTGAGATCATTATAAACTTCTAAGGAAAAGTGACAGAGAAGAGGAATAGGTTGAAATCAAGATCTGTGCCCCAGATCTTGAAGCCTAGCTCTCTCCTGAGGCGTGGATACCCCAAACCCACCTAGTGAAAGCCCGTGGGCAGGCGTAGCTGTTCTATAGGCTTTAATATCTTCCTTCTCTGATTATTGTGGGTTCATAGCAAAGTTTCCAGTGGTTCTCAGAAAAATGAGAAAATAACAACAGGGCAGTGAATTTTTAATAAAATAAACATATTTCTTTTAAAGGATTGTCCTTTATGAGATTTTACTCTTCTTAAGCCCTTTTCTTTACAAAATAATTATAGTTGGTGGTAGGATGTGTATTGTTGTTGTTCTTATTAACATCTTCACTTGGTAAAATGTAAAGTTGTCAATCTTATGTTAGTGCCCATTTTTTTTTTTTTTTTTGAAACCATGCTAACACTGAAAATCTGGACGGGGAACCACTACCGTAGAAAATATCAGTGGGAACTTCAGTGAATTTCATTTCCCTCCAGCCCCAGGGCTGAAAGAGAGCCGTGCACAACCCATTGCTTCATGTTTAAAAAAAGAGTAGGGAAAGCAGCAAGAGTTCAGGAGGTTGGAGAGAGTTCTCTAGCATCTAAGACGTTTCTTTAGAGGATAAATGTTATACCCTGTTTAAACCACTAAGGAGCTGGATCAAAAATATCATTGACTGCTAAAATATATATTACAACACAGTCCTCAAAGTTGTATTAACGTACCTGTCATGATTTAATCATTCCTCAATCTGAATCCATCTTACAGTGCAGATTTACTCTACTATTTGCCAAAAGTGAATTTAGCGTTATTTAGTTGTTTTATAAAATATTTCTAGATTCTTCTATCCCTTGGCATAGCCTTCAGTGAAAAGATTTAGTATCAGATGCTCACATCACTGAGAATCACTGGAAGTAATGAGAAACTGAGAAGGTTGAAAAGTATCCTATGTGGTTTGACACAGTCTTAAGGAAACATGGGTGTCTGTGCTTTAGGTTCTAAGTGAGTCGTAGTGCATTTGACCTTCTGTTGTTTTCTTTCCCTTTTCCCCTTTCTAGTGAAATCAGATGAGTTACAGACAATCAAGAAAGAATTAACCCAGATCAAAACTAAAATTGACTCCTTGCTAGGGCGCCTGGAGAAGATTGAGAAGCAGCAGAAGGCTGAGGCAGGTAAGTGAAAAGGATCCGTGGGCCACAGACATGTCGGAATTAAGCCAGTGAAGCTGTCAATCATTGAGACAGAGCAGGTCCAGGGGAACATTGGCAGAGTTTAATAGAGTTTAATACAGAAACGCGAATAAAGTCTTCAAGCCTAAAGTTGCAACAATGGGACTTGATTTTTTATTTTTTAGAGAACATGAACCAATTTGTCTAAAATTCATATTTTTAAAAAAAGGAAAAGTATTTTGACGGTAATGATAAGTAATAGTTGGATCATAATTAAAAGTTTATATCTCAATATCAAGAAAGCCTTAAGAAAATAAAATCAAGTAATGGAATAATACTGTCAGCCTGAAATAATATTCATATTTCATTAAATTAACTGTAGCAAAATTTAACAGATTTCAAAAACCATGATTACAAAGCCCAGCTCCTACATTACTGCAACGCTACGAACACTTCAGTACCTGGTCTCAGGATCCTCAGCATCAACAGTATATCCCTGGCCACCCATGGCCAAGTCATTTGAGGACATCCTTTACGACTTAATGTCCTCTCTCCTTTGAATTATCGGCCCTGACCATAATTCAATTCTAATACAATTCTAGTGTCCTTTTCATGCTGCCACAGATATTTTTAAGCTGGGATAAACTTAGAGATGAGCGAGTGCGTAATTTGAAAGTTGTGCTCTAGAAGGTCTTAGATGCCTTGGAGGCTCCTTGGAGATGAGATGAGAGTTAGAAGGAGACCCAAGAGGTACATGAACTCATGCCTCCTCCAAACCCAGCCCTTGCTCCAGCCAGTATAGCTCTACCTCTATCTGTTTTATATATTGAGATTCAATATAAGACTTAATTTGCTAAAAGAGCATTACTTTTTAAAAAATAAATAATAACAGTCGTGAAAGCCATTGATCAAATCCAACCTCCTCACTTCACAGATGAGAAAACAAAGGTTCAAGGAGGTAAATTGATTTTTCCATAGCCACATAACTAGTTTATGATCAACTTAGGTCTCAAACCCAGGTCTTGTGAGTGAATCTAGTACCCTTTCCAATTTATAGTCTCAATCTCAGGTTCCACCCAGGGCCTGGTCCCAGGATTTCACTGAAGTGAGTCTACCTGGGTAACTCCTAACTGATGAGAACCAGTTGGGATCCAGGATCCTTGAGCTATAACAGAGCAGCCTGCCTGTTTGTTGACTGTATCCCTGGGGTGAGGACTACAGCTGACCTTCTGGTGATGAGGCATATAGGGCTCATGAATGAAAAGAAGCCAAATGTGAGGTGGTAGTATAGCATGATGGGTGAGAGAAATAAATTCTGGTTCAAATCTTCACGTACCAGTGACTTAGCCTCAGTTTTCTCATTTACAAAATGAGGATATTGATGGCTCCCTCACATGGTGAGAAATGAATCAAGTGGCATATGTAAGTTACATAGCACAGTTCTTAACACAGAGTAAAGGCCCTATAATGGAGCTATTTGGGGTGGGTAGTAACACAAACATATATAGACAAATGAACATTTCTTACTACTTTTATGCAGCTCATTTTTAAAAAACACAAGCCATATACCTAACACATGGTAGATTCTCACTAACATTTCTTAAGTTAATGTGGATGAGAAATGATAGATAAAATTGAATCATTTTTATTAGAAGTTTCTATTATAAATATACTCTGTACTGAGAAAAGATATGCTGCCTACACTTCTTAATAGAGAAATTTAGATTTTAGAAAGTTTTTTAAATGCTGTCTATGGCACTAATCTAAAGTGTTGCTGTAACTGAAATATCCTGTGATGTTGCCTAAATCAATATTTCCCTTTGAGGAACTTCTGTGAAATTTGTTATGTAAAACAACCCTTACAGCAAAGGACTTTGATAACCAATTTGCGCGTCAGTTTAAAGGATTATGGAGAACTCATTTAAATATAAATCACCTCAAAGAGAAAAATGTGGTCCTTATTCCATCACATTATACCTTCCAGTTTCCTGCAATGAATAATACCTTCACGTATCTTCTTGGAAGATCCTCTATAAGCGTAACACTAAATTTCAAAGCTTGCATTTTATTTTCATGAAAGGCTGTCACCTTATTTTTTTATGTGTTTAAACTCTCTCAGTCATGAGACAGTTATTTTTTAAGTGATAGGCTTACTCCTTTGATATTTACGTCTTTCTTACTTTAATATGTCAGGAAGAAAATGGAATTATTTAATTTGTAACTTCATGCTCTTAGTAATTGTTTCCTTAACAGTATTCATATTCGTGGAGCTAAGATGATCATTTTCTATATTTTCTTGACGAGCAGAAATCAGGGTTCTATGGAAAGAGTCAACCCTGTGTTATGGAAAGTGGAGAGAAATATATTAAAATTCTTAAAAAATACTTACTACCTAATTATTAAATTTAAGGGGGCACTCATGTTAATGTTTATTTGGTTGCAAGCTAATTATTTGGTGGCTAACATTTACTCTTCGTTATTACTCTTTTATACATCTCTCATTCCCAATTTACTCTTAGTCGTTTGAGGATAAGGGTTTCCAGCACACAAGTAGTGGCAGGAAGGAGGTGGAGGATCATAAACAAAAGGTGGGGAAAGCCACACGGCATGGAGCTTGTCCTGAGTTCAAGGTTCATAGTATCACTTTTTGTTTGTTTGGAGTAAATTCCTAAGCCATCAGGAGTAATTGTAATGAAGTATAATTACTTCACTTTGGATCTTCTATATCTTAAACTGCTTCTCATAGATATTTGTGTGGTGTCCTGACTCTTCCTTTGAGATTGTAAACTTCCTAAGAACAAGCTCATGCCTTCTCTTCCTTTTCTAACTCTTCCCAACACCATGTGCTGTGTACCGGGCACGAGTTAGCAAGTCATTTAACTTCTATAGGTTAACAGAATTTTAGCTGGACAGCAGATGCAGAGTGTACTGGACTTAGCACAGCCTAGGACTCGGAGTCCAGTTTTAACCACAGAACTCATGAAAGGCTCAGAATTGAAGGGGTCACATTCCTCTGGAAAAGAGGATAAAAATGGCTGAAAGTCTTTTGAGGAAACAGATTCCTGTATCACCATTTGCACATGTCCCTGCCCTACTAGAAGGCTGAAGTTTCCTCCAGAAAAGCTAACATCATAAATCTCAGGGCTGGTGGACAACAAGCAAATTTGAGAGCACTTGAAAACAAGGAGAGAAGCAAAAATTTACACAATTACTACAGAAATTTCAAGCATTTTCTTCCCCCTTGGCTGCCAGACTACTGGCAGGACACTAGGAGAGGTTTTAATTGGGAATATGAGCAGCCCAACAGGAAAGAGTTGAAGATGCTGATGTGGGTGCCCCCCCAAGGATATGGTCAACCAGATCACTCTGCAGAACCAATATCCCCTTATGCTTACAAAGCTACCCATCAGTATTTTAATACCCCACTCTTAATATGAACAGACAAGGACCACCAGATAGTAGAAAACATTTAACATAAAAAACAAATACCAAGAAAGAAAAGAAAAAGAAATTGGAGGAAACAGAGATTGTGCAGGAAGAATAAAACTTCAAAATGAAAAAAACTGAAAAACCATTAATTAATATCCTAAGAGAGAAAGAGAAGATACTGCATTCATGAAAAAAGAACAAGAAATTAAAACTGAGTATTCAGAGGCTAGATAAAAGACCTTTTAGAAATTAACGCATAATAGCACAAACAAATAACAATACAGGATTGGAAGACAAAATTGCAGAAACTCTTCCAGAAAACATAGGAGAAAATAGAGATGGAAAATAGGAGGGAAAGGATATGAAAATTACTGGATGAATATCTGAATAACAGGGTTTCAGAAAGAAAGGGGGATGATCATTCAAAAAAAACTTTTAGGAAAAAAAATAACCAAAACTGAATATTGTTAACCAGACTGAAAGGATCCACTGAGTGCCTGGAGCAATGCATGAAAATAGATACACATCAAAACATATCATTGAGATATTTCAGAGCATGAGGATGAAGAGAAGATCCTACAAGCTTCCAGAGAGAAAGGAAAAGTGAAAGAACAGCTATCGTGTAAAGAAGCAGGAATTAGAATGCCAGTGGGTCACTCAGCAGCCACACTGAAAGCTAGAAGGCAGTGAAAACATGTCCTAAAACTTATTTACAACCTACAATCGTATACTTAATACCCAAACTATTAAATGTGAGGGTTAAGTAAAAATATTTTCAGACATACGAGGCATCCAAAAATTTACCTCCAATTCACCCTTTCTCTGAAAAGTACTGGAGCATGTACTTCACCAAAACAAGGAGTTTAACCAAGAAAGGGGAAAACATGGCTTTCCCAAAGCAGGGAATCCAAAGGCGAGAGCAAAGGGAATCCTCAGGATGGTAGTAAAGGAGATCCTAGCGTATGAGCTGTTCAAGAGACCAGAAAGAAATGAGTCCAGATCAGAACTGCTCACAAGTTCTGGGAGAGACCTTTTCCAGATGCAATTGACAGAATGGCTAATGAGTAGGAAAATGAATTGGTGGAGATGAGATTTATACATCTAGTTGAGGGAGGTAAGTTTGCATACGTACATAGAGAGAAATACATGGAGAACTAAATTTAAACAAACAGACAACCTAAGGCAATTTTTAATTCCAAAGAAAATAAAATATTGTTCAGGAAAGAAAAATTATTCATTGTATACTAACAGCTTAGCTGCACAAAGCATTTATATAGTTAAACCTACGTAAAAATTAAAAATTGATCTATTCCAATTTACAATATAACCCTCTAGGGAGATAGGAAGTGAGTAGGAATTGTGTGACAGAGAACTTAATCTTCAGCCTCCTAACCATGGTGTCAACAGATAGTGCACAAAACTAACCAAGAAGTAGCAATATAAACACATTATTTAGAAATATGAGGACATATGTTTAAAAGCATCAACCAAGTAAGTGGAAAGCCTTTAAGAAGCTGGAAATGGTGAGCAGGTAGGAACGGAAGACTGCTATTTTTCATAACAAGTCTTGTAGA